CCATTGTGAGAACTAACAAGTCCTTCGATTCTTTAATGGCGTACATGATACTTTCAAAATCTTTTGTAAGGGATCTCAAAATTTTTCCCACAACTCGACTAGCAGGCATTTGTTCTCCTTTCTTGCCGAGTTGGGTGACCACCTTCTCCACCCAAGTTATGTACTCGGTTATATGCTCTTTGGGCCCCATATTCAATTGTTCAAACTCTCCTCTAAGAGTTTGTATTCAGACTTGTTTAATGTGATTGTCACCTTTATATGCAACCTCCAATATCTCTCATGCTTCCTTTATTGATGCGACATTCGTTATTTTTTCGAATCCCGACTTATCTACTACATTGTAAAGAAAATAAAATGTTGATCCATCTCTTGCATGTGTTTTCTTCAACGTCATTTGTTCCACCGTCTGATGTTCGTCCTCATCAGGTTCCATGTATCTATCTTCCACCATATCCCAAATGTTCTGGGATCTTAATAACGCCTTCATCTGTAGGCATCAATTATCATAATTGGTTTTTCTCGTTAATTGTGGTACACTCATACCATTGACAACCTTTGTCATCTCTCTCACAAAAATCTCAAGCACTCACTATTTCCCTCATGGTGTTTGACTCTTTTCTCTCTTTTTTCCTCTCGTTACTCAGAACATAAAGCTCTGATACCACTTTGTTAAAAATCTCACGTTACACACTAATATTTTTGTGAAATTGAATCTTAAATTCATTGATCATTCATGGGTTTTAAATAGCCTTGACACTTACACTATTAGGAAATAAAAACTAAAATCATACTAATTTCTCTTAACAAAATAAAAATTGCACCAAATGACCTATTTTTATTAGCTGACCAATATCTTATCTAAATAAAATAAGCTCGGTATAATAAAAAAAACATAAACAATACTACGGACACTAATTGTTCCGGTATGGGTCAAGTTACCTAAGCCCTGCACAATTTCCTCCACACGTCGTCCGGTCCACGCTCTCTTGTCTTGTCAAGTCTTATTCAGTCTCTTGTGCACCGACCGGAGATGTATCTATTAAAGGTGCTCTGATGCCAAAGTTAGTAATAGTTTGATCGATAAGTTAAGCGTTGTAATAAATGCGTAATTAATGAACCTGTCTACCTCTTACCTTTGACTTGTATTTATAGTTTTAGTCGTGGGCTTTGGATTAGCAAAGCCTTAATCACGGCCCAATCCACAACCCAATTATCCTTAATCAGTGTTTTACCTTAATCATGTTCGAAAATCCACCTATCTCGACTGTCCGACCTTGATGTTCCTCGGGTAGTGTTCGTCTACCCCGTCCGAGGGTCACCAGGACACTAATAAAAACTATAAACAAAAAAACAACTTTAAGCCTTTTAATTTTAATTTGAAGTTTATTTAACACGTTCTACAACGAAAAGTGTGGATCTTCTTTTTAAAACTCTTCTATTTGACACTCTTATCTTCGAGTGAAATTGGGAAAAATAGGGTTTGCATCAGTCATCGCACCACCCATTTGCTTTCATTTTCAATTTGAAAAAAGTTGGGCGACTCCATTTTTGGGAAAAATACCTAATAAAAGATGTTACCTTTGTTTTCGCTAAAACTCATTAATGATTATAGATGCTGGAAACCACCTTAAACTATTATTACACCTAAAAAAACACCCACGCTAGTTAAAAAGCCACCCAAACTAGTTCAAGTGTCCCATGGATAAAAACTAACCAAATTCACCCAAACTAAAACTACAAAACAAATATACAAATCTATATGAAAAGAGAGATTGTGCCAATAAAAAATCAAAATGGAAGATGAAAGTGAAGGAGAAAATGAAAGTACAAACCTACGAAAATAAAAAAGGATAAAACAAACCTTGTTGTAAAACTACAAAGTTACCCCTACAAAATCACCCATCTTTCATTATACGAGGTGAGACCCCTCATATTTAAAATAACATTAAATTTGACAATTTTGTCATATAAATGACAACTTACCATAATCCTTAATGTAAAGAAGAATCTTTATCACTATTATTTGTCTACTTTTCTTACAACGCCATATTGAACTTACAAATTTTGGTAGTTAAAGCATTATGTTAAAATCATTGGGATATATTTTTAGGGAACTTTTGTGACTCTTAGTCATTCTTATGTGTCAATGTGATGTATTTAATACTAAACACTTTTATTCCATGTCCAAGATACTCATCTTTGATCTTCTTACATGACATCAAAAGATCAACATATTTATTTTTTTTATGTGTTTTGCTATAAGACTTCATTTTGATTTTCATATGCATCTAGCATCTCATCCAATCTTTAGGAAATTCATTTAATCTTTTGACCTAGCATTTTACATTTTGTTAGACGATTTTAATATCTACTTCACTAGCACTACAAGAAAAATCACTATTACATACCACCAAAATCCGTATATAACATCAAAAATCCGTATATAAAATGATTTTACATACGAATTATATACGAACAAAAATCCATATATAATATCCGTATATAATTTTCTTTTTAAAATCCGTATATAATATCCGTATGTAATATATATATTATATACGGATTATAATCCGTATATAATAATCCGTATGTAATAGCCATATTTCTTGTAGTGTAGATAAATTCGTTACGAATATCATAATATCAAAATATGTTATTATAAATATGAGTATCTTGAACATGACTTTTATATTAAAACTTGTAACTTATCATCTTTTCAATGACAAATAAACAGACTACCTTCATCTTCCAATACATTCCATCTCTATGCTATATAATTAACCAATTTCAATATTATTACAATAACTAAGTTCACAAAAAATAAAAAAATAAAAAATTCTACTGTTTCGGTTACTTGTGAACCGAGGCAAAATCCTACTTCTTTTTGTCTCGGTTCACAATCGAGACAAAAAGTCTACTTTTTTGTCTCGTCTGTATATACATCGATTGCGGAACCGCTACCTATAGACGAAAATAATTGTTGTCTCTTCCCTTGACTACATATTGCAATAATAATTTTACTCATTTATTCAAATAGTTTTTAAATATATCTCTTCAATTAAAAATATAATCAATTATCTTAAAACTAAGCAATGCAATACTACTAAAATATTTGAGAAATATTTAACATGTTATTAATAATATAATTAATTATTTTAATTTATTAAAGATAATTGCATTTAATGTGTGATTTGAATATTAAAAAAATACTTATATGTCTTTTACAAAAATAGTAAACATAAAAATAAATATTCAATTTTAATAAATAAAATAGTAAGTGAGTTAGGGAATCATACTACTAGTGAAAAGTTTCCTACAATTTAAATTATAAGGCTGAAATAATGTCATAAAACATTATTATACCATGTAGGAGAGTTTTAAGAATATACAGTAGATACTTTGAATCAGTTGTTCATAGAGAAAAAAAAGACAAACCTAGTAGTCTAGCATATACGTTTAGAAAAATGCATTAATTGATAAACAATATTATTAATATAGATAAAAGGATAAAGTTAAAAAGTTATTCATCATAAATCTTCATTTTATCTTACTTTAACTCAAATATTTGTTATTTATTTCATTAAAAGACATTTAAAAAAAAATACAAATATAGTGTTTCTCTCACCTAACTTAATTTTTAGAATATTTTTAAAATTTTTTTTTATCAAAGATAAATAAGAGTGTTGTAAATGAAGGAATGAATTTCATTCGATTGACTATTTTTATATTTTTATAATATATGGATTGAATATGTTTACTTATCAATCCATATTGTAGATAATAGATAGACAAATTATTTTCTCAAATGGATTTAGTGTATCAGGAATAAGAAAATAAAAATAATACCAGACACATTGCCTAATAGATTGAGTTTCTCTAAAATGAATGATTTAAAAAAGGCTTAATTACCTACTTAGTCCCCATGTTAGGAGGTAATTTGCTGTTTAGTACCCGGTTTTAAAAATGTAGGCATTTGGTACCTATGTTTTGAAATTTGTATCAATTCAATCCTATCCGTTATATTGTAAGTGAAGATAATGTTGATGAAAGGGATACTACAATTGGGTGGCAAAGGAGAAAGATTATGAGATTGTGCTTTTTCCAAATTCATAATCTTTCTCCTTTGCCACCCAATTGTAGTATCCCTTTCATCAACATTATCTTCACTTACAATATAACGGATAGGATTGAATTGATACAAATTTCAAAACATAGGTACCAAATGCCTACATTTTTAAAACCGGGTACTAAACAGAAAATTACCTCCTAAGTAGGTAATTAAGCCTTTAAAAAATTTAAAATACAAAGCTAAGTTTAGAAATTATACTAGATTTTCGTATTAAAATAATAACGAAACGTTTCCTTTACAAAGTTCTGGTAAATCACGTCTTGAAAACATTCTTAAAGTTTAACCATATTTCATGAATAAATTCATTTATAAAATTATTTAAAAATATTTAAATAAACAATCATAAATAAGTATTTATGTCATTCCTTTTTAATACAATATTTTTTTAATAATTGAAATAAATGAACACAATACGTATTTAATTACTTTAATTATTTAACTATTTTAATTATTTAAAATATAATTAAAACTTCTGTATTAGTTTTTTTATTATATTAAAAATAAAATATATTATATGAAATTGATTATTTATTTATAAAAATTTGTCACATGTTATTTTTGCAAAATAATTAAAATTTTTATTTCAACAATTTTTTGTATGAATTAAAAAATAAAAACAATTTTCCTCTACAAAATTTATGCAATAAAATTTTTATAATTCTTTTAATTTATATTTTTTTTCAAAACTTTTATGAGTTGTTATAAGAAAATTGGAGGAAATAAGTTTCTTACATTAGAAATGGATTAAGTAAAATGGCATGGACACATGTCCTCTTTTGGTCATTCCCAGCGAGGCACCCAAATTAGTTCAAACCCTCCATCACCTGCCTGCCTCCATCTTCTCAAATAATAAAAACGTTGCAAACCAGAGCCAAAAATTAAATTAAATATATAAACAAAAATAAGAAGCAAAAAATACAAAGAAAACCCCAAATCCAAGACAAAGAGAGAGACTCAAATCTCTCTCTCTGATCAGATCGGACACCCTCCGCGAAACGCAATACACCGCACGCAATTTCGATTCCTTTGTTTCTCCCAAACTTTATTTTCTCAAATTTTGAAATTATTTCCCAATTTTTATGAATTCCTTTCATTGCACCGTTATTGTTCCTCAGTTCCGCGATCTGGGAAATTCCTTCTGATGCTAGGGTTTGGGGTTGCGAGGGTGATGGCGTTTTACGCGTTGAGGTTTTGAATTTCTGCGTTTTTCTTTTTCGTTCTAGATCGTTTGTTCGTGGTTCTCTAATGGCATCGGCTCAGGTGCTGCCTAACTCCTCCGCGTCGTCGCGGAAGCAAGAGCATCTTGAAGCTGGCAAGCGCCGGGTATGGATTTGGTTGATTTGGTTTTGCAGTTTCGTTTTGTCCTGATTGTGGACTTGTTGGAGATTGAGATTGGGAAATGTGTTGTTGATTTGCTTAATGCTGTGTTTTCTGTTGTTATAATGTCGCACATTTGTGCACGTGGGAGTAATGTGGATACTTCGGTATAGGGTTTTAATTTTTTTGGCTGGACATGGATGGATTTTTTTTATTTTTGTATGTCATGAACATTTTGTAGCTTTTGGATTCTTTTACTGATCGTGATTGGGATGGTAAAGGGAAGGGAATAGTGAAATGATCGGAGGGGAGCTGAAAAGAACTGGAACTTGTGATCTTCAATGACGCATTACTTGTCACTCTTTTAAGGTAGTGGAGGAGCAGAGAATAATGAGGGTGGTTGTTTCTGAGTTTGTGCAAGAGGAGGGTCTGTTGGATGGAGCTTGGGGATCTAGTAGCTTTTGAGGATCCATTTTTTGGGTTTACAAAGCCTATGATATTTTTTAGGCTGCTTCCACGGTTTTCAATTATAGTCATGGTTCAGTCATCTGACTTGATATTGGTGGAAATTGTAGACAAATGTGGCTGTTATTGTGGTTGCGGATACTCAAACCAAAAACCATGACATTGCAGCCAAAGCTGCGGTGGCAGGCCGTTCTTTTAAAACCTTAGTTGCTATCTTTTGTTTTGGGGATAGTGATAATTATCTTGTAAGAGTAACTTTTTCTCCCTTCTAAGGATTTACTTATCCTTCTTTTGTATGTTACTCATACATTATTGCATTAAACTCAGCCGCACTTGTGCTTTTTGTTTAGGACTGGACTACTTGATATCTACTAGCTAGTTTCATTCGTGGCCAGGTCTGTTTCTTTAACCACCAGCTTATTTTGCACCGACTCTTGGGTTTGATTTGCATCATACAACCAGGGAAGATGTTTGCTGAATAATAATAATAATATTACATTATTATAATACTTATCCTTCTTCCCGGTTCCCTTTTTTGAAGAGTCCTATTTTAAAATAAGCTTCAGTAAACGTAAATAATTCAAGCATATAATAATTTACCATGTGCATTTGGGGATTGAATTTACGAAATTATACCATATAAAAGAATAAACTAGTTAGTTTATCATACAACCAAGGAAGCCATTTACTGAATACTAATATTGTATGTTAATAATTTTCCTATGAAAGATTTTCCTTTGGGTGCTAAATGCCTCAAGTTATGTTTTTGTCTTAAATGTTGGACTTTACATGCTTTGTAAGATGTAGTATATCTCAGTAAATCTTGATTTAGTTAATTTAATTCTAGTCCCTTTATGTAGTTTTGCTGAAGTGATTCAGTCCTTTATTTGGTTTAGAATATTATTTCCTTTTGGAATGTTATTGAAATCGGCTGTCGTACTATAGAAGTGTTCTCAGAATTCTCAGTTAATTACATGGGTTCTTTGAATGAAAAGGGGTGTTTTTTGTCTCTAACTTTTACTTAGAGGTTCTATATTGACATGTCACTGTCACTGTGATAGTTCTGCATAATCCCCCTATTCTGTTAAGAACCCAGTATCTCTACTTAAAATTGTTTGGTGAAGATTCATGAATGTGCTTTTTTATATTTGACACCTCGCCTTAAGTAATAACCCTCTGGGCTTGAAGTGTGGGCAATTCATTGGTCCACCTCAGTCTGTGTTGAAATTTAACTTGTAATTAAATGAATCGGGCCATGTAATTTAACTTGTAATTAGAGGCTTTGAGACCTTATCAAGAAATACATCACGCCTAAGCTCAACATGAAGACACAGATGAATGGTTTTATATCTAATAGATTCCTTATATTTTCAATGCAATTTGATTACTCATTTCATTATTACTTCCTAGTTATTGTGTTGTGCTACTTTGTAGTTTGTACTACTTCTGAAAAGCTATTCTCTTTTTTATGTTTTTTATTTTGTCAATCTCAAATATTTTGGATTTTTTGGTCTTGCAGCTGGAGGAGTTTCGTAAAAAGAAAGCTGCAGAGCGAGCCAAGAAGACTTCAAACTCTAGCCAAGTTAACAATTCTGATGATAACTTGAATAAAAAACAATCTTCTGAAGTTGAAAATGTACGCATTAACGAGTTTGATGGAGTTACGACATCTGATGGTGTGGGAGGAGCTGTTACTGACAGTTCAACTTTGGGGATTGGTAATGACAAGAATCAGAATTTGTTTAGCCAAAGTAGTAATCAAGGGTCTTTGGCTGATAAAACTTCTTCTGTGAGGAATGATCTTAGTACACCTACAAATTTGGTGGAGGCAAATTCCAATACTGATGAATATAGTAGATATAATGCTTTAGTTACCGAATCTGCGGATTTTAGTCAAAACAATGAGACAAATAATGTGAATGATATATATGGAATTCCATCAGGGGCAACAAACCACCAAAGTGTTCTTCTACACCCGCAGGAAAGTCAAGAATTCGATAGTAGTGCTAGTCAATTTAGTTTACATGGGATGAATGATGACCAGTCAAACAAGAGTAGCAGCTCTTTGAAGGAATATGCTGTTACTAATAATCTCACTTCACATTTTCCTTCAAAAAGCATACCTCAAAACTCTGTTGATGTTCTACAGCAAATCAAGCTGACAAATTCTAGCACTTTAGATAGTGGCTACTCACATAATTCGCTTTCTGGAGGTAACAGTTTATTTTTCAATTTCCTTTTATAGTTTCAAACTTTTGTAATTTGTTTCTTGTTTTACCTTTTTCATCCATACAACCTGACAATCACATTAGTGCTCTTTGCTGACGTAGTTGTGCATAATCTATGTTTTATTTCAGGTTTCAGTGAGTCTTTCAGCTCCAAGTTTAGTAGCTCTGATAATAATCTGCCTAGTCTTCATGGGGCAAATATGCCAAAATTTAATTCCACAGGTTTGGAAGCAAGAAGTTCCTCTTATAATAGACCAATACTTCCATTGCCAGTGGAGTCTAGTTCTAGGAGGTCACGTCCATCTTTTCTTGATTCTCTAAATGTCACCAAAACTTCTTTGGGCTCTCCATTTCCTCAATCAGAGCAAAGTTCCTCTATGTCCAACCATCTAGAATCAAGCAGCAATGATATACCAGGCTCTACTTATTTCCCTAAGCCACCTGAAGAGACTAAAAGTGTGCCACTTTTCCCAAATTTTAGAACTGAGAATGTTGATAATGATAATCATGGTACTCTGTTAAGTGCTAAGGAAAATGGCATGGAGAAGAATGCGTATTACTCATCTTCAAAAAATGAAGACTTTGCTGCTTTAGAACAGGTGATTTCTGCTAGTTATGGTCATGATAATACTCTCTTGGAGCCTGTTATACGATGGATTAGTGCTTTACTTTGTGTATGCTTTTTTGATGAATTAGTATAAAAAATGATTTTGTTTTGTTTATTGAGTTTTCTGTTTAATTTACTAGTTACAAATGTCTGTTTGTACAAGCATTTGGTTGATGGGAATATGTATACGCTAAATATAAGCTAAAATGTGCCTACTTTTTATTAGAGTTGGAGGATTTTTTTATGATTTTGTACTTAAATGGTGAATGAAATGTCAGTAGGTTAGAACTAATATATTTCTATACGTGATTGTGATGTTGATGTTTGTCTAGTTTAAATTAATGGAATGTGGATACAAATTATCCATCAGATTGGTTCACCCATTCAAGCAGCAGAATATTAGTTATTATTTGTGGGTAACTATATCCAAGTTAGTTCCATTAACGTATTGGAGGTAGTTTAATTATTATGAATATGTGTTAGAAACTAAAGTGTCATGTAGTAGCAAATTTATTATAAAATAGTTCTCTATTAGAAACTTCAGGATGACATTTAGGTGTTGCAAATAACCACTTTAGAAAACAGTTTGTACTAGAAACTTCAGGTGGCAGTTATATGTTGAAAATAACCTTATGTACGAGGTCTTTCCATCTGTAGTAGGTTTTGTAATTACCCAATGTGAAGTTATTTGCAGTTTGTGGACAGAGAATACTCTGTTGGAGACTTTTGTCTCTAGAACAGCAAATTCTAGTGCTGTCTTGTGTTTGATTTCGGTGCTCAATATTATAATTTGTTTCTTTATTAACTGGTCTTGTATCAGTCACACACTAGGGATGTAACCTCACTATTTACTAGTGTGGGGTCCTACTTTTGATATGTCAACTATGATTTGATTCTTTCTTTGGTTTGTGGGTGTAAAAATATTTTATTTGAGTGTTGAACATGCAACCCTGAAATTATGCATATTGGTTGTATAAAAAGCATTAGAAGCTGAGTATATTTGTATCTTATCTTTTTTACTTTTGTTTATCATTTCTTCCGTGGGTAGGCATACTTTATGCTTTGCATATTTGTTTGGTTGGTAGGTCTTTTATATGTCCCTCAACTCTCAAAAGTTTGTAATTGTTATGCCTTAACTGAATTTGTAAATTGTAATTTTTAGTTGGTATTGAAATTATTGTAGTGAAAATGCACTCATGTAATAGACATCTTAGTTTTCCGCTCCTTTATATATGGGAAAAATAAAGGTTATATTTGTTTATATTTTTGTTCTCTTTTGTTTTGTAGTATATTGAAGATCTAACAAAAGAGAAGTTTTCCTTGCAACGTGCTCTTGAGGCTTCTCAAGTGTTAGCTGAGTCACTAGCTACTGAAAATTCAACTCTAACTGATAATTATAATCAACAGGTTTGCCCATGTATTGCAGTATATAATTTTGAGGATTATTCAACTTTGACACTTTTGCAGTTTTTATTTCTTTTACGTTACTTTCTAATCTATTTCTCTCTTAAAATCTAAACTAATGGTAAGTGACAACTTTATTAGTTACTATAGTTATAAAATATGCTTCAGTGTTTCAGAACTAAAGGTGTTTTTCCATTGCACATATTGTGATATTGCATTTGTGTTATTTAATTTTAATAATTTAAAACATGCTAATTGTGTAGTACTCTGATCTTTGTTATCTTGGTTTCACTTCAAACCTTATTTTGAATTTAACTTGGTGCATCATGTTTACTTTTGTGGTAAGATAGTTGTTTGTATGGATATGAAGCAGTCACAATTTTTTGTTTCCTTGATTTTGTAGAGAAGTGTTGTCAACCAATTAAGATCAGATATGGAGAAGTTACAAGAAGATATCAAAGCCCAACTGGTTTGTATCAACACTTCCTATTGGTTATCTAGTTGCATAATTTTTTGGCTGTGCTGGTACTTTTGCAAGTTCATTTGCGCATTTGCTTCTATTTATATTACTAGATCATATATTGGAAATATTTTTATAAATTTAATTATTATTACAAATTTGTAGTTATTATAAATTAAAAATTAAAAAATATTTTATATATCCATGAAGTTGTTCATAGTCTTTTGAACGGCAATATTAGGGGGTTTAAGCTTAATTGAGATAGTATACTTAGCCTCATATAAAACTTGATGCAGAGATAATCAAGCATCGAATTAAGCGATGCGTACAGAGCTTGTTGAATTGAGCTTCTTAGTGAGCTCATTGTGATTCCTTCCCATGTTTTCAGTAAGTAGAAAGTTTATGATTGGATTAATTGGATGGCTCTTTGTATCATTTTGTCTGGAATATGAATGATATAATTTGGTATACACGATAGGTGTTTTCACTTTCTTGATACCCTTCCATTTCACTTTATATCCTTGGTTTCCTGAAATGGTGCACCACCGAGGATTATTTGGGTCACCACAAATTTAGGAAAGGTGCTAAAACAACGAAAGTTGTTCATGGTCATCAATTACCTTTTATTTATAGAATCTTTTTCCGTGCTTTCCATAGTCTTTTTTCTTATTTATTAAGTGTCTGTGGTTATCATAATTGTTAATAATTGATGGCATGGCGGCTTATGGTGGAAGCCATGGCAGACCAAATAAAATTTGTATATGTATGTGTATGTATATTACATATTAAGAAAGCTATATGGAATAAACTGAATAAAGAATATTTAAAGAATAAGCTAAAAAAAGCAGAATTGAAAAAATTGGCAGTATAATTATTGAAAGCGAATAATTATAAAGCAGTATAAATATAAGAAAAAGAAGCATAGACATTAAAAAGTATTGAATAAAACATAATTGAGAAGGAAGAGTTAAAAAAAGGTATAAATATTAAAAAAAAAGAATTGAAAAGAATTTTTAACTAAAGAAGTAAATAATTAATATAAATGATGAAAAATAAAAAATATTCCCATAAGGAAATAAAAAATCAAAAAGGCCGTGAAAGTTGATTCTGAAAGATTTCTAAGAAAGGAGGACAGCGGTTGCCTTCCAGGGGTGGGGCATTGATAAAGATTTTAAGAGTATTTGACTAAATGTTTGGATGCTTATGGGTTATGCAGGTAGTTATGACTCATGAGGGAGAAAAAGTATGTGTGCTCTAACTTGAAGGGAGTGTTAGAATAGTTTATATTATCTTTCAAGCAAGAACTACTGCACTGTAAGCTTGGAATATACAATTATATATAGCTTGAAGGGAGTGTTAGAATAGTTTATATTATCTTTCATGCAAGAATTGTTGCTCTGTATCTATTTGAAACCTAGTAGTATCCTAGGGGATTCTCTTGTTTTGTCATCTTTCCTTAATTTCTGCAAAAGCCGTTGTAAGCTAACTATCCTTATAATATATAAATCTGAATCAGTAGAAATATCTAAGTTAAAATCCCTCGAACTCCTTTACTCATATATTTCTTTTAAGTGCCATCACTTATTTCTGCAGTGTGGTGTTTTTCCCAAAATCTAAGATTGTTGTGGTCCTATTTTGGAGCTAAAGTTTTTAGTGCATTAAGCTTGGTTTAACTTCTGCCACATTGATTATTGATTATCTTTGGTTGAAAATAGACTGTTTTCATGTCAACAGGCTGAGCTTCAGGCTTTCAAGAGTGAGTATACAAATGCTCAACTAGAATGTAATGCAGCTGATGAGCGTGCAAAATTATTAGCATCTGAAGTTATTGGTTTAGAGGAGAAGGTACTGATTTTTCTTGGTATGTTTGCCTTTTATTCTTTTCAGGATAAAATGTATTTTTTCCCAATTTTTCTCTGAAATCCAGTTGTTAACTTATTTTGAAATTTTTTAATATACATCATGTTGGCATTTTCTTATATTTGATTTACTACTTTACTGTCATTTGAAATTAATTGACGACTAAAATGTTATGCAAAACAGATAGAAATGACAAATTAAGAAATAGTGTTATTGATATATGTTCTAATGATTTGTTGAAGGAATTATCATGAAATGAATTGAATCAATGAAACTGATAAGTTAACTATTGACTTTTTCATTATGCTTCAATCTAGATACAACATATTCAAAATTCACTTAACTTACAGAAGATAACACGTATGTGGATAAAATTTTCCTGATCAAAACCTTTTTCTTTTTGGCATGCGTCCCATTGTGAAAATTCCATAGAATCTAGAGATCCAAACTATTCTAGGAACCAGTTGAAATAGCATAGGAACTTTTTTAATTCCAAGAGCCAAACTGTCCTGAAACTGACGTTTGAATTGAAACAACACCCCTACATTTTAGTGTGTGTTTGTTGTGGAAGTTATTGGGTGCACCGGCTTGGTTTTGCATCATATTGGTTGTGCACGCAGGTGAATTCTATTCTAGCAATTGGGTATTTGGGCACTTGCCTCAGTTCTAGAAATGATGTCCATTTTTGGAAGGTTCAATCTTAATTTGTAACAGTGGAGTAAAAACTTCTTTTGACTGTTTGCCATGTTATCGAATGTGTTTTCTGTTGCCAATCAGTTAATCAGACGACTTTGTCCCCTTTTGATTAAGTCAAAGGAGCCAAATGCCCTAGTATTTTAAGTAAATTTTGAAGATTATTTTTTATTGCTAATGATGAGTATGTTGTTAATTTTAAGTAAATTTATAATTTTTAAACTTTTATATATATATATATATATATATATATATATATATATATATATATATATATATATATATATATATATATATATATATATGATGATGCTTAAACTATTATATGCACACATAATTGAACTTTAAAAGTATTTTCGTACAAGTTTGGAAAATTATATTTTGCATTTTACTATCTGCGTATGTTCCTCCTATATTTATTCTTTGGATATAAATTTATATTAGAGGTTCATTCTTGGTTTATGTTTTGAACTCATGTTCAGTGTCAATCCCTCATCTTATCCCAGATAGGATCTGAGTTTGATGATCCAATGATGTTTTTTTATGGAGGCTTCAAAAGATAAAAGTATAATAGCTTGGATTATTTGGAGTACATATCAGAAAAAAATTGATTTTGTACTGTGGAAAAAATTTACATGTAACAGTTTACCAATATTTGTATCTTAGAGAACAGAGATGTAAAACCATTGATAAACTTCCTCTGAAAAATTGAACTTTTTTAGGAGAACTGATATTTTATTTGTTAATGAAGCCTAATGGAAGGGTAACTCCAAATTTTAGAATTTATAATTAAATTAACTTTCAATACAAAGTAAAATGGATCACTTGTTAAAAGAAGGAATTCCACATCCATATTTTGATGTGTGCACAGTGTTTATGTAATGTCTGTCCCCTAAATCGTGGCATGCAAATGTCAGTGTTCCAATCTGAACTCATGTAGGTAGATTTTTGTGTGTGTGTGTATATATATATATATATATATATATATATATATAGCAAATATATTAGATTATAGCTTTAATCTGTCGTGTTCAACAAACCCGTCAGGCACTCAGACTAAGGTCCAGTGAGCTAAAGCTTGAGAAGCAGTTGGAAAATGCACAAGCTGAAATTTCTTCATACAGGTACTTTTGAGGTTTTAAATTTCCTTCAAATGAACTATAGATGGCAAGATTGTGATTTGTTGAATGTTCAATCATTGATTACAGCCAAAAAGATAGCACTAATACGAAGGGTATCTGTGTTAGGAAATCCGGTCTTATATTTAATCTTGCAGGTGGGACTTGCAATTGAAACTTCTTGTGTCGATGTAATTTCTTTTGATGATATTGGGTTGTTAATATCCAAATTCGATGGTATTTTGTCTCATCTCTGAATATTTGAAATCATTGGATAAGCTCAAAGCATAGTTATTTAAAGAAATTTGAGGTCATTGGTGAATAGATGAATTGGTGCTAGGAAGTTAGAGCCAAAAACTGAAAGAAAAAAAAGCATGCCATTACTTATCCTTCATTTTCTGCCTAAGCCTTTAAGATCCCTGTTCACACCACTTTTCATGCATGTTTGGGTAATTGGTGCAGAATTGCTGGAGTAGAATTTATTTCTGAAGAAATAATTTTGAAAATCATTGTTCTCATACTTGGTTTTCCCTCCCATGCATATGTTTCTTGTATGGAGATTTCTTTTCCTTGAAGTTCTTACTTTTCCTAGTAGAATATGAAAATGAAATTTCCTAGTGTTTTAAGAGAAGTTTATGAAATTATTTGGGAGAATCACCCACATTTAATTTTTGGTGGCTGAGAAAATAACAGTTGAAATTACCTTTCACTGAATTTAATTTTGTTTTTGGCCCTAATCTAACATTGGGTTGGCAGCTAGACATTGAAGCTCTTACTGTATAGATAACTTTTTCTGCATTTTTTAGTTTAAATATAATTGACCTCATTCTGACGGAATTTGACATGATGTCAGCTCCTAATTTCCCCTTTTTTTTGGTTGATTCTTGGGCATTTTAAAATAGTTTTCTTATTTCATCTGGGGCAATAACTATTCTTAATAAATATTGCAGAAAGAAAATTTCTAGCCTAGATAAAGACCGCCATGATTTGCACTCCACTATTGATGCCCTACAAGAAGGTAACAAGACTTTAGCTGTTTTTTATTCTGCATTTCAATTCGACAAATTTTGATGTTCCATTTTAAGTTGTAATTTTTATTTATTATTGGCCATCCGGATTGTGTTTAAGGTTGGCGCCTATAATTATTTGAAGCTTATAAACTGGCAATGAGAATAGAAAATAGAAAACTAATGTTTTTGGATTGTAGATATGACATCTCTCTCTGTAGCTTATAGTCATACAAACGGATAATGTTCATTATCCAAATTCCAATAATCTGAGTACTGTGCTTTTAGTCTTTAGGTTTTATATTATTGAAAATAATGCTGATCTTATGTACTTGAAGAGCAAATGTTACACAGTTACTGTTGTCCCTAGTTAGGTTCACTTGGTGGTTAACACTGTTCTATAAAAAAAACCGTTTATCCTTTGTTTTAACTTTTCAACATGGTCAAGTCTGATATCTATAACTCTGTGTAGTCTTTTGTTTTCTCAAATTGTTGTTTTTGAAACAAATACTATCTTTTGCATGGAAGTCTTAACGCATGCCTACTTTGATATATTCAGGACTTAAATTGTTGATGTTTTTACATTTATTGTTTTTTCTGTTATATTTGGAAATCTATCATAGTGCATATTGCGGAATTATTTTATGCTTATGGCTTTTAACTGTTTATCTTTTTCTGAATATATAGAGTTAAGTGAATTGATTTGTTTGTCCTTTTCTTTTTATTGGTGTATATCATGTGATTAATTCATTTTGTCCGTTTGAATTACTTTTGTCTTTTCGTTATGAAGACAAAAATATTGGAGATGTGGTAAAAAAATCCTAGTAAACCATTCATGGCAACCTCTTAATATGAATCAAATGCAAACAAGTTTTGTTTAAGTTGAAATATTATGAACTCAGAAACCCGTGTTCTTGCTTTGCTGTTACCCTGATACAGAAAAGAAGCTGCTGCTTTCTAAGATGCGAAAGGTTTCAACCACTGGAAAGTCTATCGAGAGTCAAACAAGTAAAAGGGATATTTCTACATCCACCGAGGACTTAGGTTTGTTTGCCTTAGTTAGCACTATTACTTTGTCTGTTTTTGGTATTCGTTATGGTTTTTCAATTTACATATGTTGTGTATTCGGCATCAATTGGGCAATTTTGCATACTAATCTTCAACTCAAGCCTGTTTTCTTTGTTTCATTATTCTTAAGTAGGAATGAGAGAATGAAATGCTTAGTATCCACTAATAAAATATGCTTAAAACAGAAAAAAGTCTAAGGTCTATAAAAGTTCTTATGCAGACAAGCATATGAATATATGATGTAATATACCTAGCTTAGGTTAATTTTATTTTATTATATTGTTATACTTGAAGATTTAGTCTTTTTGCTGGAAAGACTTGAGTGAATATCTATGCTCAGCAGCAATATGCATACAACATATATATGTATGTATAAAGGGGAGGGATCTACGTACTTTGGAGTAAATTTAGAATGTTGCTCTTAATTTGGACCATTTATTTGAATTCAAATCAATGGTTTAGATTAAATAACTAAATCTCCTCACGTGACCCATCTTTCACAAGCTTCCGTCTTCTCATCTTAAACAAATTGTCCCCCTATCATAAAACTCTCCGAGCATTTTACTTCAGGGGAGTCACCACGAGATAACAACTTCAGTATGGCTTCATTGCACTGTTGCAAGTGCAGCAAACTAGTGCTGTGGCGCAACAGTGCCATCATCTCACTCTGATCCTATCCACACACTTAACCACCACATCTCTGCTTTTTTCAACATAGTGCAAGAGTTGAGCCCTGGAGGTCCCATTGGTGGTCGAATAGAAGAGATGCTCAATGGAGTATTTAAATGTTTGGTTTTACCTCCATAATAGTTAGCTTTTCAGGGTTAGTTCCTGAAGTGCTTGGGTACATATGACAGTGATTATTCAATCCAAAAATGGGGCAAATGAAATGCTTAATATGTTATATCATTTGTAGCATCTCCTGTTGTCGGTAAGCTACCATTCAAGATTCATCATCACATTGGATTACATAAAAAAAGTTAGGATTTTCAACTTGTTTTCACTTAATTGAAAACAACTTTAGCATTTCCGATATCTAAATTTGTCTTTCGAAGATTTCTGATATGATTCTAACAATCTCTATTAGAGAATGATGAGCCACCATTGTTCAAAATAGTAGCTACCTTTCCTTGATGTAATCCTTCCTCAGATTTTTCCACCAGATTTTTTGCAGCAACAATCATTTTAGGACACCTCATATAGTACACTTTTGGGGCTAAGCTTGGCGTGATTGTGATCGCTATTGAATGATTTAATAACCCAATAGCTTTCAATGTCCACCTCTTGAATAGTAAACAGAGACTGACAACCTTTTCAAAAAGCGGAGCACATTCTTTATTTGACAAATGATATCCTGATTTCTTCATCCACGCATCTTTTCACTTTTTGTTGATCTTTACTGCAACAAACCAAGACCACAGGTTGTGCAGTACCTGATCAAACACATATACCAAACCATTCTTCTTGGCAAATGAACTATAAAATTTCTCACCTTTTCAATAGACTCATACTCCATCCCAACACAGGGTTTGATATTAAATTCTTCAACACTTGAAGAATTTGGCTCTTCGAAGGAAGTTCCTGTATCTGTATGCATAACATTAATGGGTTCAATTTGTTGTCTTGGACAATTATCAAATATATGTTATCATTAAACAAGACAATTTCTGCACGAAGTTACATTGTTTCAACAATAAGAACTTGCAAAAATATATTTCTTGTGTTACAAATTATTTACAAAAACTAGAAATAAACAGTGTTCAGAATCATATTTTATTAGGCATGAACATCATAAAATAGAGTATTTTAAAAAAGCATCAGTTAGTGAAAGAGACATGATTTCAACATTTAGTTAAAAATATGAAATGTTAAATTGTGTACATGTGCTACTGTGAAATATGACATTAGCCGACAGCGGTATGGTGAGCTGGGTGAATTAACGGCAAATAAGTATGACGGGAGTGTACCTGTCACCATTGCTCAGCCTTAGGGAGAAGACAAAGGTAGGAAGTGGAAAACAAAGCTCTCGTGCTTCATCACAAGTCGCATTTTATGCACTAAATTTGGACTGTTAACGTAAAGTTAAAAACATGTTCCAAATTAAAAGTGACTGGTGTCACTTATTCTTGGACTAAGTGTAATTTAATATATATTATAGAAAAGGAGTATACGATATGGATGATAGGACGACCAGTTGAGACTAGGAGAGCCTGCACCTATGTAAAGACTTTTCAGACTATATAAAAAAATAACTTTATAAAGCTTTACAAGACTATTTTTCTGACAGCCGAAACAACTAGTCCTTTCTCAACAGTATTTGACTAAAATGATAATAATATCACCACTCACCACCCATCCCGCTTTTCCCTTCTTGCAATTTACTCCAAATTACTGGATTCAAACGCCTCCAATTCGTGCCTCCCAATCGTTGTCTACAGTAAACACCCCAATCCAAACACAGCCTAACAGTAGGTGCAACTAGTCTTTTAACATTTTTAAATCATTCTTTTATGTAACTTATTGCAAGAATGTCTTATACACGGGTAATATAACCAAGATCTGGTATCCGATTTTTCCAGCTTATATAATGGTGTGTTCTTTCTTATATTTTTATGGCGAATGTAACATTTGTTGGTATTTGCTCTTGTTTGGTTAAAGTCACGAAAGATTAGTTAGGTTTTCTTTTGGATCATATGCTCCTCTTCATTCAAGGATTTTTGTTTGAGTTATGAGTCATGACTGGCTGGCAACTGATGCTGATTAAAGTACTTGCTATTGCTTTTAGTATTTTACTGTATTTGTATCTCGTTATGTTTATATATCTATATTTAATGCAGCAAGTGAAGATCCAGCTTCTAACTCTTCTAACTCAGAAATCAATGATAATGCTGCTGAGGCCTCTAGTTCGTCGTCCTTAGTTCCTGAAACTAGACGCTCATCTCTTGGCGTTTCTCCTGTTAATATTCCTCATGATCAAATGAGAATGATTGAGAACATTAATGCACTTATTTCTGAGGTAGGGTTCGGTCTGTTGAGAATTCGGTGGGTGGTATATACCCCACCTCTTTTGTTTACTATTTGGAGAATTTCTTCTGTCATCCATCTTGCCTTCCATATTTTACCAGAGTAGAGTGAAACTGTTATCAAACAAGCCCACATTAACCTGTCTACCTTTTGTTGTGTAGCTGGCATTAGAGAAAGAAGAATTGATAAAATCCTTGACATTGGAATCATCTGAGTGTTCCAGGATGAAGGTAATTCAATTAGAATGCATTGTATTAAATATAGAAAACATTTTTAAAACGGGAGATGTAACACGCGGAATAGCTCGTTATTTTACTTACTCAAACACTTGTAATCCTATAGTCAAACTGCTAGCATCCCAAATCTAAAGGATACACGACGTCCTTTGTATGTGAAACATAATAGTTCGAGAAAACTAAATTATTTAAATTCAAATTACAGATTGAGGCATATATTTGCAACACTAATAAAAATTTCGGAGCTGCTTCTCTAAAGTTTTCAGAATTTTTTTTGCCGTAGTTTGTCACATTCTGGTCTGTTTTGTTATTTTGGTTGTCTTAGTCTAACCTGGTAATATATGTTGTTTCTTTTCCTAATTGAAGGAAATAAACAAGGAGTTGTCCCGAAAACTTGAGGTCCAGACACAAAGATTAGAGCTTTTGACTGCTCAAAGCATGGTCCATGAAAATATTTCTACTAAGCAACCAGATTCCCGCACTGTGTATGAGAACACCCAATATGCAGATGAGGGTGACGAGGTAACCTATGCTCATTTTCACTGTAGTTTGGTCATGTGATCTTATCGTCTGCATGTCTAGTGCTCGTCATTTATAATCCTCATATTTATTTTGAGGTTTTGATGACGAATCCCAGCATACTATTTTGTAATTGAAAGCTTCACTACTTTCGAGTAGTGCAAATATGAAACATTAGATACCTTGTTTATGCTGTTAGTTAGAAGTGTTGGGTTTGTTCTGAAACCATATCAAGTAGTTAAGGTTATAGAGTTTAGAAAACTTGAAAATGAAAAAAAAGGAATTGATGTGATTTTCTGGTACTAGGTTGTGGAAAGGGTGTTGGGATGGATTATGAAGCTGTTTCCTGGTGGACCTTCAAGAAGGAGAACCAGCAAACTTCTTTGATAGGATCTACATCGGACTTATATTTGTTGTCACCAAAGTCTTACCCAACTGTTTGGATGAATCATGAAGCTGTTTCCCAGTTGCCACCAAGGTAAAAAGAATCAGCACATTTCAACCCCAGATCCATGAGTAACATGTCGACAAAAGTCTACCGAGTTGCTTTTTGTTCTTGTAACCTCCTCAACAGAGTGGAGTTCGTGATCTGTAAATTTTGAGTGAATTATACAACAAATTCTTGAAAAGAACTGACTTTCTCTTCTGAGCTGCTGCTTATTGATCGGTGGTGAATCCGGCTGCAATTATTTTGGAAGATGGTAATAAAATCTGTTGTGCCGTTTTATCTCTGATTGAATTCCAAATTTTGTGGGTATATAACATTTGGGTATGAAAGAGACCGTACTAAGAAGCTTAGTGAGAGAGACAGATGAATTGTTAGAGAAAAATGAGATGTGAGAACATTTGTTGAATGTATATGCTAGATAGAGAAGGGCAAACAAAAGATTATTGTATTGACATGTAATTGGAGTGTGTATTTTTCAGTGCTTCACCTCACTTATGAACATTATATTTCCTTAGTATATACAGTGAACTACATTTACTAGTTATTTGAAGGTTAAGAGTTTCTCAAGTTTGAGTGAAAATTGTTCAAGTACTCCAATTTTAGTGCATTCTGCATTTCAAACAAGGAGACTAATTAAAATTCGAGATTTTAAACGATTTAATAAAATGGCTACGAGTGTATGGGAGAAGGTACCCGAAAATTTATTTATCTAATCAACATTACTGACGTCCGAAATTCTGAATATTTTCTAGAACGTAGAATTTGGAATTCATTTTTAGTATCTCAGATTATTTATGTTAGAATATTTCATATTCATCAAGAAAAAGGACTCCCAAAAACAATTTACAATCACCATCTCTTCGTATTCGAAAATAGGTACCCTTTCCCTTTCTCTACCTTATCATTCGCTTTATTATTTTGTAGTTCCGGAAAGCTTTCCGAACTCCCTTTCCAGTCTCAGTCCGCAAACTAAAGTGAAGGACATTTAATAATTAATCATTTATTAAAATATTAATGTTTTTTATAAGATTATTATCATCATTAGGAAGGACTATTCGTTTAAGATTTTGGAATTTACTTTTACATAAAGAAGTCCCGTAGTTCACAATTTTCATATATTCATTTTTTATTAGTTAAATTATTTGTTAGTAGAGTCTTAAATGAATGTGAACCTGAATAACAAAATACGGTATATGTAAATTAAAATTAGAATAGAAATGAAAACGAAAATCCTATTTTCTAAGTCAGAAATCTTTACGCATACGTTAATGTGCGGCATCTCCACTCACTGTCAGGAGGACACGGATACGTCGAACTAAATATTTTTATAGCACCGATTGAAAAAAAATGAAAATAATTAAATTATACTCTCTAAATCTTTCAATTTTTTTATAATATAGACTTCCCCATTTGAAAATAACTGAAATTTCTAGTTTTGAAAGAAATTTAAATATGCTCTCTTGTTAGTTTTTAGTATCATTTTACTTTATTTTTAAAGAATTATATCAATATTTATAAATAAAAAATTTATTGAAAATATAAAATTATTTCAATAAATAACGTTACTTATTAAAAAGTAAAATTTAACTATAATTCAACCCTACAAAACCGTTGTATGGTAGGTTTGCACTATTTTATATACTCTAAATTAGTCTTATCTCTTATCGATGTGCTATTTCCAACACATTTTCTCACACTGAAGTATATACATTATCTCTTGTTGATGTGCTACTTTCAACACATTCCCTCACACTAAAGTATATACATATTGAGCATGCGACTAAACATTAATGAGTGGTCCGATAATAGTTCGATAGCAGATGAAACAATACCTAACAAACAATAAGTATAGTTAGGATAGACTTTAACAAAACTCTCTTATCATGTTAAGAAACGAACTTTAAGCTTACTTAAACTTCACAAAATTGATTTTATTTTTTTTTTATTTATCAAAATTCTGTACCAATAGAATGAAGTCTAACTCAATCCCATAAAATCAACTTATAAAGTGAAGTTTGCACCTATTTATATACTCTAAATTGTGAGACTTTCAATACACTTCCTTACGTCGAGGTATATTCATTTCGACTGTGAGATTAAACATTAATAGATTATCTGATAACAATTTAATAATGATAAAATAATATATACAGCAACTAAAACAATAAATATCACTAGTCTCCAATTATACTCTCATTTGTTAAGCATAAAACTTTAAGCGTAAACCATAAAACCTTTTTTTTTTTTATCAAAATTCCGTACCAATATAACTATATAAACAAATATTCGGCTAAATTAGCCTGTTTGTTTCCATTCTAACCTTATATCAGCATCAGTTTAGACAGCATACACGAAAATTGCATCAAAATCAAGTGAAGCATACCAAGCTGAAGTAGATAATCCACAAAACTTAAAGCATGGGCGAAGAAGAAACAATAAGAACCAAAAGCAAAAAAAGAGTACAAAGAAACTTTCTCCAATATTCAAGTAGATTCACGGTGATTGCAAACAGCTTATCCAACTTGTAACCGGTTGGCTTGAAAACTTGACGAGAGTGTGTCTTAAAAAACACCATCTGATGACAGTGTGCTCTGAATATTTGAAGGCATAAGTATGTTGAATCCATCTGCTGCTGTAGAAACAATCATTCCAGGAATCTGTGCGTGCCAATGTAATTCCTTGAGGTCTTTCTGTCCCTGGTGAATAAACAATAGTTGGGGAGGCAGATCTTGAGGAGCATTAACTTGTTCTTTGGTTTTAGCTTTAAATTCAGCCTCCTCTTCTTCATCCTTTTCTAATGAAAGGTCCCATATTGTAAGCTGATTATCAGCAGATGAAACAGCCAATGAAGAGGCTTCATGTGGACTCCACTCAATGGATGTGATTGGATGTTTGTGGTATTCAAAATGTGCTACCAAAGAATCTCCTTCCTTGAGCAGTCTGAGATCACGAATAGAAATAGTCCCATCATCACTTCCCGAGGCCAACATACAACTAGCCAACCTGTTCCATGATATGACATTCACGTCAGCATTATGTGCCTTAAAAGATGCAGCCGGTGACTTCCCCAAACGGATATCCCATATAGCAATATTTCCATCCACAGAACAAGAAGCAAGAACGTGAGGTTCTGTAGGGCTCCATTGCAGATCTTCAACACTAGCAGTATGTCCAGTAAATGGAGCATTATCAACATTCCATGTTCCATCAGATGTAGGCTCCCACAGATAAATGCTATTACCACAATCCCCAGATACAAGCCTTCCAGGAACAAGAAGACTCCAGTCTATAGCATAACCTTCGTCTTTGTGTTTAAATATATGCAATGGGTCCTGAGTAAAAACTGCTGCAACTCCTTGGACACCTTCTGTTTCGGTCTCAGCCAGAGCATTGAGATGAGAGCTTAGGTCCCAGACCTGTACATTACCGGTATCAGCCCAAGCTGCACATATATGGGGATTTTGTGGCATGGAGCGTATACGGTTGATACATCCTTGGTGTGCAACCTTCCGTAACTGCAAACTGGGACCATGGGCAACATCTTCATTTTCATCCTCACTATCATCATCATCATCACTATCACTATCCTCACCATCCATTCCAGAGTCATCAGTTTGAAGTTTAGGTAGCGGTTCCCGTCTCTTTCCAGAAATATTTGATACTTTAAAAATTCCAATAGAATTCCAAGAAGGTTTCTCTGCCTGAGTCCCTGCCATGAAATATACTGTATGTGGAAATTCTGTTCGAACCAAACCCAGAGAGTCATGTAGAATATCAAAGCTCAAACAGGGCCATCCAATGTGAAAAGCATGAAGAGAATTGTAAGCAGAAGGGTCACACTGAAGCTCTTCACCTTCCTCTAACTTGTCCACCCCGGGTTGCCACACCTTAGCTGGAATTTCTGGAGCCAAAGATGAAGAAGACCCACCCTCTTTCTTAGACCCCTTCTTTTTGTTCTTCCGGTGTTTTATGCCGCGAGTCATATTCAATTGCAGTTTTCTCTTAATCTCTATTACAGACTCTTTTCGTTTCTTTCTTTCTTTTGTTTCCAGGTCCCCCACTCTGGAAGGAGAAGCCTTTGCTATTAAAATCAAACGTAGGTGGAACGAAAAGGTGTCGGCTAAGGTTGATTAGATGCACAAGAGACAAGGATTGATAATTTCTCGCACGCCAAGAAGCCGACGACGCTGAGAGGCCGACGACGCTGAGAGGCGCAACTCACGTCCGGACGCTGTTGATAGCGCGACGCTGTTAGCTTTGTTGCTATGGAAAGGAGGAGCGGTGCTGCCGCCGTCGGTGGTGGGTAGTGGTCACAACATTAGGGTTTGCGGCTTTGTGAAAATAACTGAAATTTCAAGTTTTGAAAGAAATTTAAAGATGCTCTGTAGTTAGTTTTAAGTAAAATTTTACTTTATTTTTAATTAATTATATCAATATTTATAAATAACACATTTATTGAAAATATAAAATTATTTCAATAAATAACGTTTATTGTTACTTCTATTAAAAAAAAATTCTCAAACTACGATCATCTTAAGATACACAAAGTATTAATATTATAAAAATAAAGTAAAATGAAGAAAAAATGTTAGATATTTGTTTGTACGTGGCATGTTGGGACCACATCATTATGAACTAGTGGAGCAGAAGCTACAACAATGCACAATCTAAGACACCTTTCTCACTCATGAAATCTCAGTTCTTCCACTTCAACTCAACAATGTCTACCTTATCTCTCCATGCCAAACTCTCCTCTCTACCAATTTCCCTCTCCATTTGTTCTTCTTCATCCAAAGGTTCCATCCTCATAACAACCCTTCAATTTCTCTAATATGCTTTATCTGATTCTCTTCTTACCCATCTTTTGTTTCCTTTACTTCCATTTGGGAAGCAGATACAGATAGTTCTTTGAGAAAGGACTGGAGGAAAAAGTCCAAACCTATCCCACCAGGTGGCATCTACCCAGCAAAAGATCATTGCAGGTATATACATACTTACATATTTTCTGTTTCTGTCAAAGAGTAAACAAGTTTACACATAATTTAAGCATAAATCATTATGTATAATTATCTTAAGAATCATAGATTTCTGATTAACAGACTATTACACTGAGAGTGCATAACCATGATATGGAACATGCTGTAGTTGCTATACATTATTTTCCATGTTGTTAGTTCTCATGGTTTGGTTTTGTTATTTTTCTTTTGGGACAGTCGTTGTGGGTTGTGTGATACATATTACATTGCCCATGTCAAGAATGCATGTGCTTTCTTGGGAGATGGAATGTCTAGGATTGAAGTAAGTCTCTTTCGTTCTTCTGTTGCTTATATATCTGCAGTGCATAAGTTATGTGCCATCCTTTGTTTTATTTTTAAATTTACGATTTATAAAGTGTTTCAAATGATGATACCTCTGAGAGAGCATTTATGAATTAACAAGCTTAAGTTAAAATTAACATATTGAGAAACTTATTTCAATTTTTCTCTCAGAAATAAGTTATGGAAAAACTCCTCTAAACAGACCCACACACATGTCAAATTGAAA